GGGATTTGCGCTTTGGGCAGTTTTTGCAGGTGCAAGCGTGGCTCGTGACCTATAGGCTTGGACAGCCTGGCGGTTGCAGCACGAACATAAGCGGATTTGGATTTGCCCAGTGCGTCCGAGGATTCGTGCTGCCTCCTGCCTCAAAGCTGTGAGTGGCTTAACAAAAAGACCCAGACAGCTGTCGCAGAAAAAGGCTCGGGCTTAGAGGACTTTGCAACTTCCATGTCTTGTGTCATGTGGCCTAGCTTACCGAGTTCATGATCAAGCGAACGCCCAACTGTGCTAGCGCCCCAGACGGAGCTCCGAATTCGCGAGTAGTCATTGCCAGGAGCTCTGTGGTAAGCTGATTCTGCGGTTCCTGTCGCCAGACCTCTTCACATCCTATATCTTGGATTGCCTCTCGAGTGGATATCAGAGGGATATTTGGGCGAGCCCGTGAGTTTGTGTGGGTGTTTTTGGGAGTTGCCGCCTTGTTTCCGGTTGCTTGAAAGGGACCAATAGCCAACAGCCCCCTATTTGGGTGGTTCCACATGGGCGGCGCATCACTTCTGAGAGCTCGCCAAGCTGGCAGGTGTGGGCCCTTCTGTTGAGGCTACCTCTGTTTTTAATGGTTTTTAAAGGACGCCAGCGGGAAAACCCACCATTTTGGGGGTCACCTGAAAAACGACATGCCCATGCGATGGATACCGAGGCCAACTCAATGAGACTGTGGCCTTAGGCCGGCAGACATGCGAGTGCTTGCCATGGACCCAAGGGGGGCAGTTCCGCCATGCCGCACCCAACATGCTTCTAACGCTTGATCATTGACATTGGGAGTTCCTCAAAATGGATTTCGGACCCCTTTGGTCGGTATTTCATCAAAAAGGGACACCACGAAAAACCGGCTGCCGTGATTCGTGATTGCCATGTGTGCCTTGGCTAAAAGCACTGGGCCAAAAGGGCTCCGAAGCCCCATCTCTCGGCAGGCGGCCCGAAGACGGTGGAAGTGCCGTTGAGATGCAAAACTGGAGAGTTGAAATCCTGCTGCCTGACAATGCAAAAGGCGCGGCGACCTGAAAGCGAAAGGCCAGCGAAAGGCCCATGATCAAAAGGTCCGGACATGGAATGACCACTGGGTGAAAAACCACTAAGATGATATGTCCCCACTTGGGAAAAGTTACCTACGGTCAACCCCCATGTGATTTCTTGAGGATTTGGGTACACCAGGCTTTGATTGTGACTGTTTTCCGTGTCTTTGGCCTAGCTGTGCACCGGCCAGCCTGCCAGCATGCCAGCCATCAATTCCTTGCAGGTGACAGTGCAGCACGACGACACAGATGTACAGATAGTTCTGCTGATGTCACGCGATGCCGGCGTGACTTAGCGGCAAGAGGTCAAGTGTCCACGGATTCTTGCCTGGCACCATTGGGCCCCTCCCACCCCCCCACCCCTTCACCCCTCGCAGCCTTCCCCTCCCCTCCCCCCCGCCCCTCACCCCCCTGCCCCACCCTTCATGAGGGCCGGGAAGCCGGCCTTGGGCCTTAGGGGCCGTGTTTCAGGGGGGAAGCCGTCGCTCTGAGGGCGCGGAACTCTTTGACCCGGCCAGTCTTTGAACGGGAGGACGATCCGCGCGAGGGAGTGGATGCAAGGGAAATATGAGTATGTACCCCTTTTTGGTTGGTTTTAAAGGGCCAAAAGGAAGACCACCATTTGGGGAGTCAAGAAAAACGACACGCCCGTATGGACTGCTATTCCCATTGCACTCTGGTCCTTGAGCTAGAATAAGTGGCCGGCGCTAGCCGCTAGCCGCGGGTCAACCTATTTGCCACCCTCATGATCGCATCATTCCTCCTGCGCGCAGGACTAGCGAAGTCACGTCGACCTAGCAACTTCCGCCACAAGGCGAGTATTGAGCCAGCAGAGGCTTGAGGAAATAGATGTGCCAGCCTGCCGGACAGAAACGGCTCGAGGTGCCAGAAATTGCTGTCACGTCATTTCAAGTCATTGCATGGTGCTTGGTGTTGCTTCAGCCAAATCTGTGCACAGCTCTGGCTCCCAGTCCCTCGCCTCCCGCAGGGCCTTGGCTTCTTGGCCATTTAAGTTTGAAGGCATATTGTACAGCGTGTCAAATGACGAGAGTTTCCAGGCAATGCCAGCCTTGTGCACATGTTGATTGGGTCCTTGGTGAAATGATGGCAGTGAATCCTACTTTGCTTCCATGTGATTTTTGAAGAAAGGACCGTTTGAAACAGTGGCGGCATCCTGTTCCTGATGCAATTGAAGCATGTTTCAAGAGCCGGCGAGCCACTTTAGGTACCTCTCAGAAGGCGTGCAAGCCAAGGCTGCCATTTCTTTACCTCGGTTGTCTTATGGAACCTCCAAAATGGGTGGTTTTGCTTTTGGTTCCCGTTAGACCAACTCCAAAATGGGTACCTTAAAAGTGAACCAGCCAAGAGCAGCAAACTGGCAGAAGCTATGTGCAAAGGTTAAAGGCAAACAGCGGAGGGCAGGAAACACAGCCCAAACTAGCGAAACGGCAAAGACCAACATGTTCCAAACCAGCAAAACGGCAAAGATGCCAGTGAAGCGCTAAGGTTGAGAAGAACCCATGCTGCCAGAAAAGGGCTGTCCAGAACTGTGGGGTTCGCTCCAAATATCTAAACTCGTGCCTGACCTTTGCAAATCAGCAGCTGAGTGCGGTACCTGTGGCTAATCGTCGCGGTTTGTTTGAACCAAAATCTTTGATCCCGGCCGCCCACCACCTTTCTCAAGAGCGACTGGCTGATTCACTTGCCCCTACGAGTTCGCCACGGGAGGAGCTAACATGCAGAGGACTCTCTTGGCCAAAGATGCCTGGCAGTGAGTCATGCTTTCGCTCGAAGGCGTCAGGTTCGCAAAGTTTCGATTTCTGGAATTCTCTCGATTTCTTGGGATCCAGGGCTTCGGAGGATGACAAGCTTTGGAGGCCCGTGGCTCTCCGGCCATGGAGGCGTCGGAGATGAAGCGGGTCTCTCTGAAGGGCGCCTAGGGAGCATGCGAGCAATTTCATCCGTGCCCAGCGGTTTGGTTCGACACTGAGACTGATCAACTCAGCGAAACTGGGCGAAGGGTGTTGCTCTGACAGAGCTGCTAAAGGCACGGTCATGAGCCAATTGCGCTCCCTGCTGAAAGTGTCTTTTTTTAAATTTCTGGGTGTCTGCTTCTGAGGGTTCTCCCACTTGGTGGGTTCCCTCAAACATTAGTTATTCGCGTGTGCGTGCGAAGTGGTTGCCGTCAGACAGAGTTCTGGCGCGAGTCTTCACACGGATACGAAGGTCGAGTCTAGCAGGCTTGTTCTTTTGCTAGATTGGATTTGCGTTACATTGCGGTTTGGGTTGTCGGTCGTTGCGCCAACCCCAAAGTTTCATCGTTTGGCGCAGCAGGGAGGCTCTGCGAAAAAGAGCGAAATGAGACTCTGGGCTGGAGCAAAGCGCAGGGGTACGTGTCAGAATAGGAGGACCCCAGCAAAATGGTTGTTTTCCTTTGGCCCCCTCGCTTTTGACCTGCTTAACAAGGGTACCCCTCAACAAAACCACACGCATTTCGTCCAAAGTCTCCAGTTCCTCTTAGCTGCGCCTGAAGTTTGCTGAGCCCAGCGTGGAGTTCCGTGCACGGCCTTAGTGTGGCTACTCTTAGTGGCCATTCTTCAGGATGATAGCTTGGCATTCAGTTTACCTGTTGGATTGGCTGGTGTCCTAGCAATGCGTTGACTCTTGGCTGGAGAGCTGCAGGAATATGTTGATTTGGTATAGGAGGTTGGAGTGCAAGGCTTGTATCGAAGAAATGGCTCGATGACTTTTGCACAAGCCTCAGAGTACGACGGTCATTTCGATGCTTTCATTGTCAAAATGCATGGCTTATTGGAGAAGGGCTTCGCACCGATGATTCAGAAATGCTGTGTTTTTGCTGGTCGTTCTCTCACAGACCAGGTCTCCCCTTTCCCCCTTTTTAAAAGTATCCTACCAAAAGGAAACTCACTTTAAATTGGCCCAGGTGATGCTTAAAGCCACCAAAAGGGGAAATACAGGGAACCCGAATGAGAAGGTTGTACGTGCCTGCTTTGGACTTTCCGGGCCTCGCGGGACACCCGCAAGGGCGTTATGAGCTCTCATCCGTGACGCTGAGCAGATGGCCCATGGTAGCCATTGAGGCTGCCAGGGATCCACACGCCGGCTCAGGACTTTCTTGGGATTCCCAGCCATCCGGTTGCCAAGGCGTTTTTTTGTTTGTTTTGTTTTGGGTGGTTGAGTGGTGGCTTCCACTTAACCACCAAAAGTGAATCTTTTAGCAGGGGATTTGGGAACAGCCCAGGAATGGGAGGATCTTCAATGTTCTAGGAGATGGATGCGCAAGCTGTCTCTGCTCAATGCTTCGCTGGGGCGCTGTCCAGAAGCAGTCTGCCACTCAAGTCTCCAGGAACCTAAGCCCGAGATCCCAAGTGCCAAGCTTTTTCAAAAGTGTGGCATCCGCAAGGAAGCGGCAGGCATTGCCGAAGGGGATCCGAGGAGCCCAACGTGCTCGTTTTCGCGTGGCGTTGAGCCTCGCCGAGAGTATTCTCAAGAGAGCTGTTTCAAGCGGTTGCATGCCTTGAAAAGGCCGCCGTTCCAGAGTATCAGTTCGCTGTGTTCCTGGACCGCGGTCCCTCTTCTCTTTTGCAGCCCGACCGAATCGGCCGCAGAATTTGACATGCATCCTCCAGCTCTCTTTGCAGCTCAGTTTCCGAGCACTGAGGCACGAAGCTCTAAAAAAAGCCAGCAGGAGGGTCGCTGGCAGCTGCAGCCTATCGTGTTTGATGGTTGTTTGGCCTTAGATCCTTTCATCATTGGTTGAGGTCAGCCAAGCTTGCAATGGAATCCAGGGGTCCACGCAGCACACGGGATGCCTGCAACCCTGAGTAGCTTCAAGCCGGGCTGTTTCCCAAGCAATAGCACGAAGCGACTGCAATCTTCAATATGCCCTTCCTGAGCTCAAGCGCCGATCAGGCCGAATCATCCTGGCAGATTCTAGATATAAAAGCACGGCCGGGGGCTGAGAGCGGTGCGCAAAAATAGTTGACATGTGTGTCTTGAGGGACCCAATTTTGAGTTCCGAGTAGGTCCCTTGACGGCTAGAAGATTGCTGCCCAGCTTCCGCCAGTTCAATCATTCAGCGCGGGAATGCAGACTTGTCTGGCAAGTGGGAAGCGCCAAGCTTGGCGCATTTGCTCAGCGGTCCACAGGAACCCTGGAAAGACATGTTTGTATTTTCGGCACCGCGGTCAATTTTCTGATGCAAGAAATCCAGGTTTGTTTTTGTTCAACTGAGTGTCCCAGAAAGCAGATTTTCAATTTGTTTGGCAGTGTTGAATGTAGTGTTCACTGTAGTGTTGAATGTAGTGTTCACTGTAGTGCTCACTGAGTGCTCACTGTATTGTTCACTGTGTTCCATGTCATGTCATGTTTAATGCTATACTTCAAGTCGCCTTCAAGTTGCCTTCAAGTTGCCTTCAAGTATTCGCCCAACATGCCAGCTCGCAGCGCTTGGTCCTGGCCCTTCCAGAAAAGTGCAGAAACCATTTGCTGACAAGGCTGATTTGTGTAAGTAAGCCCTTGCCATTCCCAAAGACCCTGGCTCATCCAGGTGGGCCGAATGCCCCGCGGGCGTTCGCGAAGTCGCTCCCGAGACGGCGCGGGGCGGAATCACATGAGACACCGGCCAGCGACGTTTTTTGCTGCGTTGGTTTGCGTTTGGTGCAGTTCTAGGGACGGGCCAGGCACAGTTGACAGTTGCATGTTCTACACTGGCAGGCGTTGACTGGGCCCGAGAGAAGGGCAAGACGGACAAAGAGTTAGTGGAAGAGATGCGCAGAGCCCTCAGCTATCGTAGGCAGGGGGTGCTGAGGGCTGGAAGTCGCTTTGGGCTCAGCCGCCAGATTTTGCGTTGCCCCGATCTGAGGCAAGGCGGACAGAGAGAAAGCTGTCTGCTCTTCGGGCAAGGAGAGGGCTCGCCACACGTGCGGGGCTTGTTTGCAATTCACTCCGCTGATGCCCGCAGCGTTCTTCAAGAGGCCGTTTAGGGGTACCCTCAAAGAAGACAGACCCATACTGCATCAAACTTGATGTGCATTTGTACCGGTGTTTCCCAGGGGGATGCTGAAGGTCGAGGCCGTTTTGTTTAGGAATATGTCGGAATATCCCGGAGGGATATCTTGACATTTGGGGGTTCTCAAAATGGTTGTCCCCATGGTTAGTTTCTTGTTGGTGCCTCTTGAACACCACCCAAAACGGGGGTGCATCAGTTTGAGAAACACCATGGAACCCCAGCAAAAAGGTCCTCTCGGGTTGCTCTTTCCTGCGGGTGTTTGGGGTTCCTTTTGGTTTTGTGTTAGGTTTGGACAGCCCAAAGGAAGACAATGCGTCAGGAGTACGCGCGGAAGCCGGTGGGTTACAAGGCGGCCTGTGCACTGCCTCGGGAGCAAGGCGGGAATGGATGGCTCCACTTGGCTTTGCGAGAGCATGGGAGTGTGTGGTTTTGTGGGTTTCCTTCTTTCCGCCTGGGCAAAACAACAGGAAAGCTGAAATCCAATGCCGTCCGGGGCATTATTTTTTTTTGCTTCCGAAACCTACCCCGACCTTTTGCGCGCTTTTGAGCAGGGCCCCTTTTTGGCGCCTGTCGGGCCGTGGGGATTTGTCGTCTCTGCCAGCGCTCGCTCGCGGTTTTTTTGCGCCTCGGGCGGCGGCTTGCGAGCGAGAGACGAAACTACGAGGTGCGGCGTCCCACCGCCTCATGGAGGAGGAGACTTTCGTCCCCATGAAGCAGGTCCGAAGGCGCGGGGTGGGTTTTCCTGGGCTGCCTCCTGGCTCGGGGTTTTGGCTTCAAGGACTTCAGCCCGGGTTCTCCCCCCTTTTTGGGGGGGACATGGACCATTTTCTGGGTTTGAGTCTGCCTTGGATTGATCTAAAAGTGGAACCCTGTACTTAGTTTGTTTTTTTGTGGGCAACATTCTACTCGCCGGGTATGATGAACAAGGCCCAGCAAGGATGCTGGAGCCAAATCACAGCGGGCTGTCTGCCTCACATTGTCGCAGTATGTGCCGCACGCGCATTCAACAATGCTAGCCGTTGCAGTCCAAGTCCGTGCTTCGAGGGGTTCCCGTCTCTCCATGTCTGATTCGGTCTTCGATTGTTGCATGGCTTTGCATTGCGGAGCTTTGCATCCCAGGCCTTTGACAATTGTCGTTTTTTTTTCTTCCCGGCCGGGTGACTCCAGGCGAAGCCCCTCACCCAGCAAGGGAGAGCAAGACTTCCGGCGCAACGCCGGAGGACCCAGATTCCACATCAAATGGCTTCCGAGCTGCGAAAGAAAGCAATGAACATCTCTTTGGTCTGATATATACATACGCATGTATGTATGTATGTATATATATATATATATACACACGCATATACATATATGTACCATATACATAAATCTATAGACTGATGAAATGCAGCAAAGGCAATCTCTGCGCTCTTCGGGGGGTGCTTGTCAGCTCGCTGAGGCCCCGTCTGCGGAGCACCAGGCGCGCATGCAGCAGCTCTTCGAGAAGTGCCACCTTCGAATCGGAGCAAATCCGCGAAGCGGTCGCTGTTCCTGGTATGGGTATGGGTCAAACCGTTTTGCCGCCACATGGATCAGGGCAGTTCCCATTCTGGCAACTGCCCTAATGTTTGGACCCACAGCCAGATGGGTGGCTCGAATTTGTGTGGAGGGTAGCACCTGCATGGTTTCAAAGGACACCAAAAGGAACACCGACGGTGGGGTTTTGGATGGTATACCCCTTTTTTGGGTGGGGAAAAAAACAGGAACCCGTTGCCATGTTTTTGGGGTCCGATTCCTATTTTAAGACACCCAGAAGCTGGAAATAAGGCCCCATGAACCCCTTGGCCGAGCCGGATTGTGGCAAATGCGTGGGGGTTTCTAAATGGAATGACACACTCGTATGAGGTCACTGCTCACTTGCTCACTTGCCCTCCTTGTTCTGCGTAAAAATCTGCGTCAAGCTTGCTGAGAGCTCACGTGAGATTCATTGGGCTTCGTTGGCTGACAACACCTTCTTGTCTACGCCGGTGTAATTTTCTGACTCCCTAAAATGGGTGCGGTTCCTGTTTGCGAGGCTCGGTGCCCTTGGGCACATCCATCGTGCTGAAAACTCAGGGGTCCCAAGACTGGTTTTCCCTCTGGCTTCCTTCTTTCTGCCACAACAAAGAAGCCACCCCAACGAAGACAGGCACATAGGTCCAGCTTTGACACATACCCGAAAGAGCCACCGGCACAATGATTTGGTACTCTACTGTGGGTTTGGGGAGGAGAATGGGGACAGCCCAAACTTCCCACCAGGGCGACAAGCGCGATTTGCCCATCGGGTCGGGAACAACCAACTTGTCCGGGGGTCACACTCCGAAATCTCATTGCTTTTCAGGGCACGCTCTCCGGGGCCCGCCAAGGGCCCCCTTTCCCCCCCCCTTCCCGTTTTTTTTTTTTCCTTCCCCGCATTTTTTTGGTCGGATTGTGTTTTTCTGTTGTGGTGTTCTCGCCTTTTTGGTCGAATGGCTGGGCCCACGGCGGTTTTTTTGCGAGGTACGGCATGGCCAAGGGCTCCGAGAGCGGGCGCTCGGGCCACGACATCGATGGCCCAGAGATGATGCGCTTCGGCGCCGCGGCAACGATAAATTTCTCGAACTCACGTCGATCTCGGGGGGTCCGTGTCTGTGTGTGCGTTTGTGAGCCACTCGCCCAAAACCCGGGGGAGGTGAAGGTGATATCCAAAGCATCAATTCATGTCTGTTGGGAAACAGTTTACGTTTTGCTTATTGTGGTGTAGTGGGAAATCCCCACTTGACTGCTAAAACTTAAGTCTTTATTCCCCTTCCAACGTCAACCAAGAAATAGGAAAGCCACCACTTTTGGGGTCCAAGCTGAAAACCGTAGCTTCAAAAAGGTACAAAACACCCACCTACTATACAGGGTGCCTGTGTGTGTCTGCGTGTCTGTGTATTTTTTTGGGGGACCTCCTGACTGCCTCCTGGTTGGTGGGTTTTGAGGGGAAGTTAGATGGAGGAAAGTTAAATAGACACCGACCATTTTAGGGTTCGACTGGAATTATTTCGAGAGAAGGCCCAGGTGATGATCCAGCTTCTTGAGGGATGTAGGATTTGTGACGCATTCTGTTCACGACTTCGCGACATCTCAATTGTGGGACAACGCGACCTGCCATTCCTGTTCACGACTTCGCATGCTTCGCGCTTTCATGTTTCTATTGCGCTTCCAGTCTCACAATTGTCCAGCAGTCCTTTGTGGGATGGAAGGCAGGTAGGATGGCGAACCGGCCGGTGCAGCTAGTGACAGGATCCCTTTGCATGGTGCTGAAAAAAGAACACCAACAAGCAGAGACTAAACTTGACTAAACATGTTTTGTTACCATCTTGTGCGAGCTATTCTTGGACAATTCGCGCTCCCACTGCGAACGAGCGAGCGGCCCCCCGAATTCTTGCGGCCAGGCTGAAGTCTTGTGGCGGGTGTTTTCTGAGCCACTGCACGAATGATCTCGAGTGGGCTTGCCGCTTGCCCGTGTTTCCCACATGGATCTGCTGTAAGGCAGGTGTTGCTTTTTGGGCAGCTGGCTCCTCGCCAAAGGTAGCATAGATTGAGGTGCCATCTCGGCAGCATGGGGATGTTTGTTACATGTCAGACTCACGCAGTGCTTCATGCGAATCGGTCGGCGCATCTTCGGCTTGAGGTTTTCCGTCCTGAGATCACTGGCATGTTGGTACAGCCAAGCAGGCAGTTTTTTCCATTCGCCAGGTTCAGGATTGGTTGGGCGGAATCCTCTTACCTGCCGGTGCCGACGCCGCCCCCTGCCGGCTTTTGCGACTGGCAAAGCACCCCGCAAGGCAACAGCTTCACTGCTCAAGTGCAGCGCAGGGAGTGAAAGTAAGAAATGCTTGCAACGCTGCTGTGGATTCTTTGCAGTTCCGTTTTGCCGTCTGACCATGTTTGAGGGGACCAGGTTTTTCCAACCACACAGCGGTTGTTCGACCTCCAGTTCTTTCAGTTCTTTTTGGTTTATGGGCCCAACAGGTTTGTGGTTGGAATTGGTTGGAATTTATGGGTCCCATAACCCAGTTCTTTCTGTGAATGTTCTGGTGAATGTTCTCAACATGGCTGTGAGTCAAAGCCAATGGTACCATTTTGGGGTAGGTGCACCACCCATTTTAGTGTATTTTGGTGGGGGTTGGGATGTTCACTGGGGCCACGGGATTTTGACCCATGGCCACATGGGACCCTGGTTTGTGGTTGGAATTTCTGGCTCCCCCAGCGCCTGCTTCGGGGCCGGCTCACAGTGTGCCGAGCCGGCTAAGAGGGGCGGGAGAGAACGAGCACTCGTTCGGGGTCCCAGGGTCGCCGGCGCCATCGACGCTCTGCTTGGATCTTTGGATCTGATTTTTGGGGCGCCTGAAGCGAGACCGGAGAATCAGGAGGGAACAGCGGTGAGGCTAGGGAACTTGACCTTTCTGTTTGTGCAGCTTGGGCAAGCATTGCTGCTGGAATGGTTTTGTGCGGACAATCTGCAACAACGTGCTGTTTTTGTCCTGTCCTGTATTTTCAAAAAAGCAATCTGAAGCACAATTTCAGCGGGGATGGGGATATTTGTCTTGCTGTACATTCAAATCATTGCGTTGATTTTGGCACCCAAGCGATCTCGGCTCCGGCTTCGGTCGCGCCACATGACGACATACGCCCCTTTGATGCAGTCCAAGGATGAAGTCGGCAAGTTCGTCCCTCCCTCCGATGAGTACGTGAAAGCGCATAGCACTCCCACCAAGATGCCGGAGTCCTGCACATGTTCAGACGTCTATTCCTTGGTGCTCACAGCCATCCTTGGCGTACCCATGGTGGTTCTTGGGGTTGTCATTGCAATCCTCCTTACGGTGCCACTTTTTATCATCTACCTCTACAAATGCACCCTGAGTCGGCCTTTGGATCTCGTTCCTCGCACTTGTGGCTTCTACATGATGTGTGGGCTTGTGTTTCCCTTGTCCCTGCCGGCAGTGATCCTGGCGCTCGTTTGGGTGCTGGTGGTCCGCATCTTCACCTGGATCTGCTGCTTCCCAGTGGCTCTCTGCAACTGGTCCAGGACTCGTCGCTCCTGGCAGGCCCTGCGCCCATACAGCGCTCGCCCGGGGCAGCTGATCGTTGACAGCAACGGCGCGCAGCGACCGGATGATGCGCTGTCAACGAAGTTCGGCTACATCTGGCCCTTCTCGGATGTGATTACCGCCATCATCGGCAGCATGGACCGGCAGGGCTTCGGGGAGTTCTTCGTGGCCCTTCCGGTGATGTTCACGGTGCTGCCGATCTATAAGCACACGATCCTCACCAATGCGCTGCTCTTCGACTTGCAGGACGTCTACATCAACCAGTGGAGCGACCCCCTGGACGCAAATCTCGACGGCCGCTCCGACTGTGCGGACATCGCCAGCATCAAGGAGCACATGAAGATCGGGATCTGCCGCGCCATGCTGACGGAGAGAAATCGGGACTTCATCGATCCATGGCAGTTCACAGGGCATCACCAATATCCTCCTCCTGGCCGCGAGAGCCAGACAGTGGGAGGCATGCAATTCAGCAATCAGGGCCCGCTCCGGGTGTGTTTGTTGTCGCACACATGCGTCGCCATTGACATTCCAAACCACAAGCCTAGGAGCGAGACGGCGGCTTGGACGCTCTTGGAGGTTCACTTGCTCAGCTGGAACCCCTGGTATCAACTTGCTGGGATTGTTGAGGTGAACTTTCGAAAAGATGGGGGAGTAGAGCACCCAATGTGGCTTGCTATGGATCCAAACTCCTATATTGCAGTCAGGGCGCTGCATCTCATGAATGTTCTCTTCGCGACACTTGGCTTGCGCACGGCAAGCTGGCTAAAAGACATTGCCCTGAGAGACAAGAAGCCCTAAGATGCTGCGATGGTTGGAGGACAATGATCCGAACGTTTTACAGTGTGCACAGCCACATGTGCTGTACGACTTTTGGGGACTATGTTCCGATGCGCGCCTCTGATAAAGCGAGGCGCGGATCAACTTCGGAGATCCGCATTAGAACCCGCATGAAGTGGATGCTAATGGAACTTCACTGGCTCTCGCAAATGTTGCGCTGCTTTGTCACCCAGCAAGTAAAAACCTATTTGCATTTCTGCGGGGTGCAGGGAGGGGGAATCCAGGGGCATCAAATGAAATATGGCAAGGCTTTTCTTGCTTAACCTTTCCCTAAAACGCCCAAAAGTGAGGGCCAGATGTTTTAGTTGGTACTTTGGGACTCTACCCTGGTACTTTGGTACTTGTTAGTTGGTATCTAGTTTGTCCAACCAAGATAGGGCCCCTGGATATTTTTTGTCGTCCCAACGCCTGGGCCTCTTTTTTTTTCCGAGCGTAGCGCTCTCTCAGACCTGTCCGCCCGGTGTCGGCAGGGTCATGGCGCGGCAGGCGCGAGATTCCCGCGGTCGGGATGGATCGGTTCCATGGGGAGCCTGTCGGTTTTTTGGAGCCCCCTTTTCTTGGTGGCTTAGGGAAGCCAAAAGGAAAAGACCCTTTCGCCGTTTTGGGGGGCCCGGTAGGTTTCTTGAGCCGATGGGCTTAAACCCTCTTAAAGGGGCTCGACCTCCACGTCTAGGGTGCATGAGTAAGCAATCAAAACAGTACATGACAAGGGCCAGAAGTATTTTTACACCGCAAGAGGGTTTTGCACAAATTGGTGTCTTGAAAGGGAAACCATACGGAGCGACCCTGGTACCCTTTGAAGGGAACCCATCAAGTTTCAATCCATAGCTTTGTGATAGATGAGGATGTTCACAGAACTGCGGTTTGCACCTGCTTGCCTCAGCTGGAACGATACCGAGATAGCAACGCAGTTTTCTCCAAGGCGCTGCGATTCCCCAAGCCTCAGAAAGTTGCTGAGGGAGTCCTGGCGCTGGCAGCAGCATTTGCGGCCGAAGGCTTAGCTAATACGAACAGGCATTGTGAACATGCATGTAAACGGAGTTCGCTGATTAGACCCAATCGTCAATAGAAGATTTGACGATCTCAACATGGGGGCCTGGTTTTGGACGGTCTTCAAAGAAAGGAGCCTCGCAAGGACCACCCCCCCCCCCCCCATTTTGTGAGGGCCTCCCGCATTTTCAGGCTGGTTTTAAAGAGCAAACAGGACACCCGAGGAGTCTTTTTCGCGTCCCGCTCACGCATGCCGTGATTGAGGTGCTAGCTCCCAGTCGCAGCCTCGTGCCTGGACCCGTCCGGAGGTTCAACACCCCGGATACAACAACAAGAACCTTCCCGGATTCATGGGAGCTCCGTGCTCCCGAAAATGATCCTCCACTCGTTCCCCATGATCCTCAACTCTAAAGGAAAGCACCCTCCCAAATCAACCCGAATGTTGCCGTAAGTAAACAAACTCCTGCACTGAATGTTAAAGTGGTGCAGGATTTCGTCCATCCACGGTATGACACCATCGAAGCCTCTGGCCTGAGGCGCCTTCCTGGTCCCAGCTGCCCAGAATGCCCCAAGGCAGCTTGCCCGCCTCGCTTTTCCCACGCAGAACTCCAGAGTCGCGCGTGTTTTGTTTCAAGACTTTGGCCGAAGCTCCGTCTTTCAGGGTTTCCGGTTGCCATTGTCCTGCAAAAAGGAAACCTCGAAAAGTGGCGATAGTTTCAATGGTCACCAGAAGGCAACTTACTGAGCAGTCACACCCATGACCAGGCTGGCGCCGCACAACAGCGTCAGGGTAGAGGCGCGACAGCTGGAGCTTATGGTGGGGGCACATGGCGAAGAGAGTTTGGAAGGGAGATAACCCTCCAGTTGGTGGCTTGGATTGGTGGTTCTTTGGAATTTTTGAACACCTGGTTGTTTTTTTTGCAGGTAACTGGGGAGCCATCCCTAGCCTCCGAACCACCGATTCTGTTCCAAACCACCCATTGGGAAGCTGTAGCGCCAGGCGGATGGCTGTGTTCGGCTGGAATCGTTGCAGGCTGCGACAGCTTCGGAACGAGAGGCCAGGGAGAGTTGGAGTTTGCGCGCGCAGTCATGCAGACCAATGCTCCCAGAGCCAACATGTTGTCTGGAATGAAACAATGCCCACGCAGAGAACTAAGATCCACCATTCGCCCCTACCAAAAAAGAAGCCCCCCTAGAGCCTCTGCAATGACATAATTTGGGCAAATCATTTCTCCAACCACACAAACTGTGTGTGTCTCCAGCTGCCTGGGTCGGAAAAACCGGTTGCCTCGTTACTCATTCGGGTATGTGTCCAAACAGGGCGCGGGCGGCGAGCCCCAACATGGCGGTCTCCCTCTTGCGTTCCCTGAAAACCATGGCGAACACCGCCAAGAAAAAGCTCGACCACACAACCTCCCGTGTTTTTTTTCACCGCCAGGAAAATCGCGGCGAGCGCCGTTTCGGGGGCTCCAGTCGAGAGGCGCCGGAGCCGCTCGGGAAGTTCAGCGGCAGCTCAGTGGCGCTGATCCTGGCGGTGGCTCGGACTCGCTTCGAAGTGAGGAGGGGGGGGGGGGGGTGAGCCAAGGTTTGGAAGGCGAGATCTTTGGCCATGGGTCATGCCTCCATTTTGCGGATGAACACCCATGTACCTATTTTCATGTGGCTGTGGCTGTCAAAACCATTTTGGGATCCCATGGGGGATTGGTGCACCACCCAATGTTTGGCAGGTGAGTTCTCGTACTTTTGAGGTTTGTTTTTAAGGCATGGATTCGGAACTCCTTGATTGACAGTTTTGGTGAACCATTTGGAATGTGAGTTTGGCGTGGTCCGACATTTTCAGATTGCAAAGGAACCACCCGTGACCGAGTGTTGGTTGATAGATTTCCGCGCAACCCAATGGAATGAAGCGGGCAAAGTGCAAAACTGTTGAACAAGATTTGATATATTCACATATATTTGCCACTTTCCGCAAAAATGGTGGCTCGGGGATGGCTCCTCTACTTGAGGTGCTCAAATGTATTGGCAAGAACCCTCTGCAGACGCAGCGGGTGTGTACTGTAGACTTGATGTCAAGGAGGCGCAGACACGCAGAGTTGCCCAGTTGTTGGCAGTGTCAAGCCTACTATGGTTTGGGAACAACCATTGACCCATGGCGATCGTAATGTCAGTCACAAACCAAAAACCACCAAGCTGCATGGCAGCTGTTTGTTGCGCTGGGATAGAATGATCGCAGCTGTCCGGATCGGGCTTTTGGCCCCGAGGCTGCAGTCGTCGCGCGGAACGTGGCCATGTACGGCGCATCGCCCAAGGGAAAGCTGCCGCCTCGGGACGCGGCAGGAGCAGATGAGCTGAGAAAGCGACTTGCCGTGCTTCAGGCGGGCGCACTGGAGAACACAGAGAGACAAGGCGCAGGGAGATGCGGATGTGCTCCCAAAACAATGGTAGAAGGTCTCGGTGAAGGTGTGAGTTTAATTTAATTAAGGTGGAGACAACACAAGGCTGGCAGGGACGTTGGGCATTGATTATAGTTTTCAGTCGATTCCAGTGTGAAGAGCTTTGCCAGATGCAGGCGAAGTGATCACATGGGTATGTGTCTGTTTGAGGGTGCCCTTTGCAGGTTGGCTTAAAGGGAATCAAAAGGAACACCACCATGCTTGTTGCCCTCTTCTCATCAAACCGAATGGCCGCTTTGCGCACAGGTGCGATGGTACCGCCGAGGTGAGAATGCAGCCAAGAGAGCTTTGGCATTGGGGCCCGGGCCGTAGCATGCGAGTTGGGTTCTGATGGCTGCTTCTACCTCAATGGGCATCCCGGATGAATAAATAAACTTATCGAGAGAATAGAGGGGTGTCACCAAAAGTGATCCTGAATTTCCCACCAAAAGGGGGACACCCCCTATTCATCAGTTCGGCGTTGATTAATCCAGGGTTAGCATTGATGTAGACACTCGGTGATAGTGATGATTTGTCCTTTCCTGGGCGACGACATGTTAAAGATGTCGTTGCTTCAAGGCAGCAAAGTCCAGTCTCAAACCTGCCTAGAAGTATGCTACTTGCAGCTGGGGCATTCAGTTTGAACAAGTCCGCAGGCAGGCTATGTGCTACACCGGCTTTGGCAGACATTGTTTGCCTTGCTAGGCGGGGAATCCGGGATGGAACGGTCGACTTCATCTATGGTCAGGTGGAGGACGGCGCCTATCGTTCGTCGCTTCAGAACGCTCCTCCAAGCGGCCTGCCCAACAATGTTAACCCCGGATTAAGCAGAACCCCTGGTTGATTAATAGGGGGGGGGTCCCCTTTTGGTGGGGATTCAGACCACTTTTGGAGGGAACACCCCCTAGGAATGGGACGGGTTTATGAATCCTGGGTCAACATTAGCCTGGTCCTCGCAAACTTGCGTGAAGCTACAGGAGCAAGAGGACGACGACGACTACGATGATGAGTGCGCGAGATTGGCTTCTCCCGAGAAGGAATCCTGCTTCCCAACGCCATATCAAACAGTTTTTCACCGCCTTCACGTCAACCAACCCTGGCACTTTTTCAAGCGGTTTAATGTCCCTGAAGCTAGCAAAGGCTCTATCAAACATCAGGATTGTCAGGTGTGCACCGACGGGAGTGTACAATTTGGAAGCTGCCTCGAAGCGTACCAACGCAGAAAGCCCTTTCAACAGCAACGACTGCCTGGCTGAACCGGACCTTACAGCTCCGCGGAAATATGTTCAGGAGACCCGTTGAATGCACTGTAGCAAGCGGATTCCGGATTGCACCAAAGGAAGCCGTGCGTGCATTTGTTAGAACCCCAAATATGTTGCAAGACCCATGCTCCCACGACATCCCACAGCTTCGAGGTGGGGAAAACAAGTGAAAGGCATGATGTAGGTGCCTTACTCGGAGATGCGTGATTTCATGTGATTTCAGATTTGGGTGTGTATGTTTTTATGCGACCCCCCTGCCAAAAAAAAGGAAGAAAAGAACAGGTGCTTCTTAGTTTCCCTTTAAAACCACAAAAAGGGGGTTGCTTGAAAGCAAGACAGACCCAGCTTGCAGATACTGTGATACAGACATATGGCCAGGTACGATGACGACGATGATGATGATGAATTGGAGGATCGACCCATTTCCTGAGCCGGGTAACTTCGGCTGTGCGCACTGGCCATTGCGAGCCCAGCGAGTGAGGTTGTCCCATGTTCTCCCGCAAGGAGTTTGTGACTGACCCAAGTTGTTTTCAAGAGGCAGGTGGCAGCTGGCTCTTCGCGTCGCAACCTCCTGCATTGAAAGCTGTCAAGATCCTTGTCCGTAAGGCTGGTGCGCACTGGCAAGCGGAGAAACAGACAGACATCGGCGCAGATTGACCTTTATGGGTCAACATTAAACCACCAGGAGACCGCAGATTTGAGTCCTTGTTTCCATTTGCCGGGGTACCTATCTTTGACCCACAGCCATATATCCCATTCAAACCCCAGGTGGTTTGGGGCTTCGAACACCAGTTCCGTGTGGCGTGGGGAAGGTGAACCTTGCCGCACTTTGCTTGACCTGAAGGTTCTTGGGGTTCTTGGCCATTGGCCTCCATTGAAGGAGGGCTCAGTTCCTTCTAGGAATTCATAACGCTTCTTCGGGCTTCCGTGGTTTTTGAAGCTTTCGCGGACTTTTCGTGGCTGCGACTTTTTGTGGTTCTCCGGGCCGGAGCTAAAACCCACCCTCAAAAGCCGTCCGAATTTCACCCCCCACTAAACCCACCCCAAGTCCGCCAGACACCGACCCAGAACCTGCCCCAAACGAACCCTAAGCCCACAAGCTCACCTTTCGGCTTGGACCGATCTCATGCTGCATGGGCGTTGGCTCAGTTGCCCAAGCTAGCGCAATCTCGAGCGATTGCCTGGTGGCTCAGAGAGCGATTGCCTCAGGGCTCCTGACATAGTCCCCGGTTTTTTTATTTATTTTCGCTGCAGCTCTTGACCATGTTCAAAACAGCAGTAGGGGTCCACTCCCCGGCTTGCGAGGTGGGAAGATCGGCTCGCCAGAGGCGTGCGAGTGCCTGCTTGCCACGGGCCGCAGGTTGCTTCTTGCCAACTCTTTGCAAACGCGGTGCATGTGACATGCCCTGGGTGTGTCTTAGTACCCTTGGGGTGGTTTTAAAGTGAGCCAAAGGGGAAAGCAACTTTCGGGTTCCCAAATTCCCCTATCACCTATCGTATCTCCCTCGATTCCGCAGGCGACGTCGAGGTGTCAGGACGGCACCTGGCAGGGAGGGGGGCGGTATTTGGTTTGGAGCCCTGGGACAAAACATGTTGTTCCTGTTGAGCTCTTTCTGAAGCTCGATAGCGTGGTCCATAGAGTGATGGGGCAGGTGGGTAGGCGGTGACGTGTGGTGAGTGGTGGGTGGTGTTTGTTGATGATGGTGGTGGCCGTGGTGAGAGGTGGTGGGTGCTGGTGGGTGGTGGGTGGTGGTGGTGTGGGCGACCATGAGTTCGAGTTGTTCGAGCATAGTAATCTCGAAGCTTGAGCGGAAACGCTGCACAGCAGAGTCATGCTTACCCTTGGTTCTCAGCGACATTCAAGCCTTCCCGGGACAGCTGTGCATCTAATGTGCGCACATCAAACTTGCGAACCTCGACCCGTATCCAATCAGACTGACTTTCACCGCGGGTTAGCCACAGGCAGAACAACTTTTAGCTGGATGCAGTGGCAGTAGGACCCCGGAATGGGAGCCACTTGTTCCTGGCAGGGCCAATGTTGTCGCCGCGCTGCAAGAAGCCTGGGGTGCGCCCGTCTCGTTGAGGGCCATTCAATGTCGCCCATGCCATGCAAAAAGATCGACATGTGGAGTATCGCAAAAACCAGATGCTGAAGCACCCGGTTGTTTGTTGGTTTTTACCTCTTGACTGCTGCTCTTTATGGTGGATGCCTGTCGTGTTGCCCTTGTGCGAGCGAGAGAGAGCGAGAGGCCTTGAGACTTTCAGCCCGAGGCTCCAAGATCCGGACACTTCGATCGAGCGCCAGGTCCAGACCTTCACGGATCCCATGAACCCCTTCGCCCGGAACACCTCGAAGGCCATGACCAACCTCCAGGCGACTTGGGGGCGACGGCAGCTGAAGAGTCCAAGTTGGATGATCGTGTTTCGTCATGTTCTCGCTCCATGTGGGGGACTGCCTGATTTTGAGGGACGAAAGCAACCCAAAGTAGTGGTGGTCCATTTGGTTCCCTCTATGTAACACCGCAAAAATTGGGGTTCCCTCACAACAAGGTGCATCCATTCTGAAAATTATGGTTTCTTATGGGTAGATGGTGAGCGAATGTGACGCAGAGTTGGTCAAACACCGGAGCCGTCACTTGGCAGGAGGCGCGTGCTGACCCTGCACGCGCTGGCGCGCGCACGCGCAACCCAGGCAGGACAGTACCGTGAGAGTTCTGAACGCAGTCAGAGAGAGGCAGCGCGTTTCCGATTGTTCGCGCAGGCAGAAATGGGTAGGGGTCAAAATTAAACCACCAGGAGACCGCAGGTTTTAGTCTATGTTTCCATTTACCAGGGTTCTATTTTGGGTACTTATTTTTGACCCATACCCAAATGTACAACACCCATTCCCGTAGCTTCCAGATAGAGAAGCCTTGCGAGACCCAGCTGATCCCAACGTTTGACATGTTTGACAAACATTCGTCATCATTCCTGCGTCTCTTGGTTTGCTCCCTTGGAAAATGAAGTTGTGAACATGCTCCGTGGCAATCCGCAAGGCACAGGGCAGGTAGGCACCGCTCGCCAGGCATGATTCCTGCTGCCGAAGGCTCCGACCGTCCGGTGCTCAGGTGCTTCGACCGGGCAGCCCAGTGTTCCGCTTTCTATGGCTTGCCGCTCTAGCCGGCTGCGGCTGGTTCCTGTCCCTCAAGTATGGATCCCACACTCGGATCAGCTTGCTCCCTGCTGGAACTGTCTTGGGAATGTCCAATCGCGTGGTAGCTTTGCAACTTCTTCTTCTGAAAGATCTCAACTGGCATTCAAGAAATCCAAGAAGAACAGCACTCTCAACAGTGCAGCCACAACTACTGTTCTGCGTCTGATGATGATGATGATGATGATGATGATGACGACGACGACGACGACGATGATGATGATGATGATGATGATGATGATGATGATGATGATGATGATGTCCATGCTGCCAATGATGGTGATGCTGATGGTGACGACGATCGATGATGATCTCGACGGAGATGAGCTTGACAATAAGTTTCGACAACACCGGTGTTGCTCTACTATGGATGTATCCTGGAGCTTGAGATGAATCTTGATTTCAACGCTGGTGTAAGTTCTGATGCTCAGCCTTAGGCAGATCTTCTTGATGCTGACCTTGATGGCGGTTTCTGTTTGGTTTTCTGGATTCTGCCATTGACGTCGATGGGAAGGGTGGCTGAGGTTGATCTCAGTCTGATGTATGAATGCTGAGCATTTTTTTAGACCTTGAACAAAGTCTGTTCTGGATGCACATCGCTGCATGTGGCACGAGTGGTAAGCTGCTGTGTGCACAACAGTGAACGCGCAACGCTTATCAGACTTCACGATGATTGAAGCATGGTCAGCATAGTCAGAAGGTCGCCACAATGCCCTACGATCAACATACCTTACAGTCTTGAGCTCAACACCAAACAAATACACTCCTCTTCACCATGACACACTGGAACAGTTCATCCGTTCCATGCACGGCATGGCTTCCTTTGGGCCGGTGCGTGAGGTCTGGGCTTCTCCGTGTATCGCTACGGCCACCATGTGTACCGGCCGCAGAAGGCCTGAGCCACTGGGCCTGTTCCGGGCGAAAGAAATCCTGCGCGACCATCCCGGCGAAATCCTGAAAGCACGAAACGGTGAGATGTGGCTGCATGGTTTGCATGATTTGCTGGTGTTTTTTTGGTTTGCTTCCTGGTGCTTCCTCTCCGGGCCCTCTTTTCTATCTCAAAAAGTCGCGTGTCGGAGACATCCGCCGAGCGCACGGCCAGCGCATCTCGGACGTCTTCCCCGGCTCCCCGAGCAGCACCATGGTGACACCGGCGCCGTCGCCCCGCAACGTGCCGTCCCCGCGCTCCAGCCAAGGCGGGGAAGGGGGCCAAGGAGATGTCGTGTCTTTCCTTGGAGGACCGGGGCCCAACATGGCGCCACGGGTTTCCCCAAAGTTTCCGGGCCTCTTTTCAAGGGAAGCCGCCAGAACATCTGGTAGCTTTTGAGAAGGAAATCCAGTGACCCCTCTTTGCTTTTGGTTTACCACAACAAGCCGAAAAGTGAACTCCAACTTCAAAAGCGAACAAACAAGCACACACAAACAGTTTGGCACTAGCAGGAAAGATCATCTTGATGCCGCGTCCAGGTGCAACGGAAGCATTGCGTTCGGGAAAACCGATCACCGCGACGACAGGCCAGCCTGCCGTGTGCGCTTTTCTGTGATGCATGATCCCAAAAGTCGGAAGAAGCTGAATCTTGCCGCCTGCTTGCACCTGCTGAGTTTCAGTCTTTCTGCACGGGCTTTGTTTTCTGGCAGCGAGTTTGTTCTAAGAGCGGCTTTTGTCAGCTCTGGAGAACTATCTCAATGACATGAAGCGCTGCTCGACATCCCTGCGCGCCGGGGGCGAAGTTGCGAGGGTAACTCTCAGTCCGAAGCTTCAAGTTGGTTGTAGTGATTTGGGTATGCGTCAAAGTAGGGGCACCCCCAGAATGAAAATGGCCACCCTCAAAAAAGCACACACACACACCACACATGGTTGCATTGCCAAGAACGTGCCTCCGACGCCCTCGGCAGACCTGCAAAGGCAGGGAGGGCGCGCTTTGATTGACCTGGCTGTTGGTTTGAAATGACAACTGTCCCAATGGCCTGGCTGGGCGCGGAGGGAGGGGGGGGTTCCAGGCCGAGACTTCAGGCGCCCTAAACGGGCCTGGAACCAAAGAACAATCATTTGTGTAATTTAGTGTAGCATGCTAGACCCAGTTGGGTGCCTGCTTTTTGGGTGCTCCTTTTATGGTGGGGTGAAAGGGAAACAAACAAAACAACCATTCTTGAGGGTCCCCTTAAAGAACGGCACACCCAGTTGTTGGAGCCCATTCAACGGGTCACCGAAAAGATGCTCGCCAGGATGAACAACGAGCTGACCTTCTTGCCCTCCGAGCGGGGCAAGGGCGACGCTTTGAAGCACCGGCCACAGCCAATTGAAGTGGGACGCTTGATTCAGTTGAAGTGATTCCATTTACCTACTATAGTAGATAACCAAGGGCAAGCGCCACGCTTCAAGCGCCGGAAGGCGATTTCGTGGTTACCTGCTATAGTGGCAACTGGAATTCATTGGGAGAAACAGAAAGAGATCCCGTTGAAGCAGGACATATTTGTTTCTGACCCATTATAATCATTGTGTATATATCATGTAAAAGATCTGCGGCCACGGTTTGTTGCGCGCGGCCGATTGCCCAACACTTGCATTGCAGAAAAGCAGGGTCTGTGATCGTTGGCTGAACCCTTACAGCTCTCACAAAGACCCGCAAGTCTATCCCAGCTACTTGCAATACGCAATCCACGTGTCCACAATCTTTGTGTCTTGGCGTGCATGTGCCACGCAACCAAAGCATCACTCACATCACTTCACGAAAGGGTCAAAGCTAGCAACAGATGACACCACCCAGATGTCACACCAAGAAGTAGCTCGAAAACAATGCGAACTGCGCAGGCCACAGACGTCTCTTTCACCTGCCCTTTAGGCATCTGAGTCGCCACGCGCTTTGGAGCCATGGCGAAGTCGAGCAAGGCGAAAGAGGAGAAGGCGGGGATGCGTCAGTTTGGCAATTCGGCAGTGTGCAGTTCCGTATACTTAGTGCCCATTGCGTCGTGGTGCCAGAGATGGAGGATTCCCTTGTAAAGCAGGTGGTTGGATGCATCCTTTCAGGCTTCCTGTTCGGGTCTCACCCTGGTGAACACCTTGTCCAGGCGCGGCGGAAGCCCAAAGGCAGCTTGGCGGACAAGTTTTCGCCGACGAGGTGTTGTCCCCCTCTCTCTCTCTCTCTCTCTCTCTCTCTCTCTCTCTCTCTCTCTCTCTCTCTCTCGCTCTTGTGACACATCAGGCAAGAAACGTAGCTCGATGTGCACGCAGCTTGAAGAATCGGTTTGCTCTTGGGCTATCCAGCATGTCGCGTAGGCCTGTGCCTGGAGCCGACCTTTTTGGAACAGACGCTAACATGGCTTTCTGGTCCTGCCAACATGTCTACAACTGACATCACCCCCAGAAAGGGCAGCTAGAGCAGAGGGGTTTTGATATGCGCATCCATGCGCATGGAATCTCCGCCCGTCTGGCCGTTTGAGGTACCATCAAAAGCACCAATCAGAAAAGTTCGAAGCGGAAGGCGGAGGCCGAGATTGAAACATGCCTTGGATTCTGAGAAGATCCCTGTGTTGTTTTCTCAAAACTTTTATCTTCTGTTTGTTTTTTGCGGAAAGCTGAGACTTGGATGCTCAGCTGACTCAGCTGTCACTACCTTCATGCAATTCAGGTGAAGAAGGCGATGAAGATGATGAAGTCGCCGAAGCAAATCATGAAGGCTGCAGTCCCTAAGCAGAAGAAGGCTTCTGGAGTCGCGGCTTGAAGGGGCGGTCAGGGTGGGAGTCGGGAAGGCATATTTCTCAACTTGGAGAGCGCCTGGGCCAAAGTGAGCGGGAGGCATGGGCCTTACCCCTTGGCTTACTTTGCAGGCTGGATGTTCGTTTAGCGTGAAAGAAGTCCAGCAATCTGTGCAGTCTTTCGGCATGCCACGAACAAGAAATCGATTCCATGACCCCTAAGGTTGGGTTCCTAACATCTCAGCTGATCCTAAAGACCACCACGACCCAACCGATTGCTTAGGAAAGAAGGACGTCCGGCCCAAAGCCATGAAGGCCATCCTGAAGGCCATGAAATCCACGGCCATGAAGTCGGCCAAGGACCTCAGAGCGGGCCTAGCGCCATGAACGGGCCGTGGGCTCAAAAGGAAAGACCGGCTTAAAGGCGCATGGTGCTTGATTTTTGTTTTGTTTGTTTTTTTTTACTACTTGCTAAGCACAATGCCCCCTTAAGTAGGTCAAGCCGCCAGGCAGGCTTTCGTCTTTGTCCCCATTGCGAAGGCAGACTGGTGAAGTTCTCCTTGTCTCCATCTACCAATCATCGCCATTGGGATCAATCCTTCCAGTTGACTGTCTGAGTCACATGGCGGTGTGTTGTTTTGTGCCCGAAAAATCGCCTCCCCGCAGACTCCGCTTAGGGCTTAGGGTCATCATCCAGAAAAGCGCCCTCTTTTTTGTAGCGCGTCCCTGCACCTCCCGCCCGCTCCGTCCTGTCCCTCGCTTGGCCAATAGGACTGCAAGGAAAGTACATAAAAAGGAAATGGTGTTCTTGTTTTTTCCAGTGCTGAGGGCCATGATTCTTCCAGGGGGTTGGGTTATGCTTTGAAGAAGCTTCTCGAACTGTGGGAACTATGAACCAAAGTCCTGGAAGTCTTGGCAACGGCTCTCAAAATTTACAGTTGGATCGGACAAGGAATTTGTCATGCAACAGTGTCACCCAGTGGCCAGTGCAAACTTGCACCTGCCTAGGGGAAACTCCCCTATTCCATCCACGGACGCAGTGACCCTGCATGTTTTTGAAAACGATGGTTGGCACAAATGGGTATGTGTCAAAAACCCCCCCCAAAAACAAACAGAAGGTTTGTCTTCCTTTTGGCTTCCCTTTAAACCCACCCAGAACAGGGTACCGAATGGAAAGCCAAACTTCTGAAAGCCAATGAACCAAACCAACGGAGCACAAAAAGCACAAAGCAGAGGAATGAATCCTAGCCAAAACCCAAACCAATGGAGCACTAAACCTAAGCAGAGGAGCACAAAGAGCTCACGTCGGCTCGCCGCATTCGCTCAGGAGGCTGCCGCCAAGAGCGCGGCAAAGGCGGCGGCCAAGTGCACGGCCAAAGGTGCGGCGAAGAGTGCGGCGGCCACGCGGCTTGGCCGGAAGTTCGGCCTAGCTTGCGACATTGCGTCCAGGGTTTGGGTGGGTTTGGGTTTGGGTTGTGGTTGGGGTTGGGTCTGGGTTTGGGTTTGGGGTGGGTTGGGTGGGCTTGGCTTTACGCAAAAAGGCGCGCTGCTGTCTAATGGCTGCAGCCATGTCAAGCCCTGCGTGTGGAGGCTGCGGCAGGTGCAATCCCACGCTGCGGCAGCGCGGTATTGCACTTGCCGCAGCTGGCGGACGAAGAATGCGAGGATGAGGCACTGCAGGTGCTCAAGGTGACAGTTGGGATGATTTCGAACTCAGGGACGACACTGATGCAGGTTTCGCGTTTGCGTGTTTATAACCATTGCAAGCAGTGTAACAACCACGACAAGGAGTTGGTTTTCCTTCAAAACCACCAAAGCAACACTTACCCACGCGCTGTTTCTCAATCTTGCAAAGCGGAAGCATGGCATGTAAGCACGAGCATGCGGGATTGTTCCCATAAAATGGTGAGTGAAGCGGCCCCGAACGGTTCTCGATCACTTGGCAAAGCGGTCAGCTCAGCTTCCTCCTCAGTTTCAGAGGACTTTCAAGGAGCTGCACCGGCTCTCGCCTGGCTCGCTTATCCCACTTCCGCCATTTTGGGGGCTCCCCCCACAAAGCACACCTATGTGGGTCTGTCTTTCTTGGTGATTTTAAGATGGCAATGAAAGGAACACCACTCTTTTGGAGAGACCACTACTTAAACACACACCTATGTTCACCTGTGGAACAAGATCCGAGTCTCATTTTGCGCCAAGGATAGCTCGGCGTGTGCGAGCGCAAGCCAAGAGCTCCTTGAAGCAACCAAAGGCGGGGATGCGGGCCACTTGTTTCATGTGGGTGTGAGGGGAGTGTCTTGTTTTGGGAACCACCCTGTGGTTAAAAGGAACCAACAGGAAAATAAACATTTCACGTATCCTTTGAGACAGACCCAACTTTGGTCGCCAGGCCTGCAAAACAAAGCTCTGCAGCTTTTGGCTGGAGGGACGTTGTCGCAGCCTGGCAGCATGATTTGTTGACTTGCTGAAATTGCAGGGAGCGGCTTGTGGCATCTTGAATTGCGCGTGCTGGTTGGGAAGAACTGCACATGGTTCCATCAGGCCGGTGCTGCGTTAGCTGCCCACAGATCAGGGCCACTCAACAGGGTACCCTAATGGGTTCTATTGAGCCGGCTCTGCCGCTCAACAAGCAACAAGATGCATCACGATGCACGAAGGACCTACACGCGCCGCAGCTCGCCGCATGTCCGATCCCACTTGTTGGATCCCCGTTAGGGCCGCCCAAACAGAGTCCTTGCCCACGCCAACTCAGGAAGGGGCGAGGAGCCTCTCGCCTGCAAGGAATCAGGAAGGCACGGACTGTGGTTTTGATTTTTCCACCAACCATCGATCTGAAGATTAGTCAAGAGTAAACGGATCATCGAAAACCAGCCGGGCAGCTTTACCATGCACTGGCATTTTTTTTGGCAAAGGTTGAATCTGAACAGCCTGACCAATAAGTTAAAATAAGTTGAAGAGGAAACTTCGTTCAGCAAGCTCAAAGTTGCCTTCCCCGCCGGGCTGCCTCGGAAGCCCACCGCTCGCTCGCTCGCTCGCAGTCGGCGATCATGCCGAGGTGCGACTTCGCGCATTCGGCGGAGGAGCAGCTGGCGAACTGCCGCCAGGTGCCCTGCCGCTTTCACGTGGGCGGCGTGTACCCGGCGAGCTGCAAGTTCGCGGCTGGGCGAAGGGGTGAAGGTGAGAAGCGGGGGATGTGGGGAAGGTTGAGCCAGGAAATTGCTTCCCTGTTTGTCAATATGGGGGGGTGGGGGGGGGGGAAAAACCCTCCGAAAGTCACTAAAACCAGCGCGGGAACCAATCGCGGCAAAGGTCGAGAGATGACATCGAAATCTGTCGGGGGAGAATGGGTCTTTTGAACTTGCACTCGGCGCGGCAAGGTATATCAGTGAACAGGCGCCTTTGATTCCTTCCGCCAGCCTTGATTGCTACGTCGTGTTGTTGCCTTGCCAGCTTTCTCTAGATTTCCTGGCCAAAGAGCGTGAACATGTGCGTGCCCCGCATAAACAATTCGAACTCCAAGAGCATAACGCGTATACCCGGTGCTGCCATCTTTCACGTTCAACCGCAATGTTTGCGAGCACGAAAGCATG